TTCCTCCTTTGAAGACGTGTCTTCACCAGGCTCTCCTGGCCACCGCTGTAAGCCCAGACCAGCATTTGTGAATATTTTCAAGTCCACTGAATTGTACTCTTTGATGATTTCTCGACTTTTATAAGCTACTTTGCATGTGCCAGACACCCGGGAGATGCAAGAGCAAAGGCTTAGTGGTGGGAAAGGCCTGACTAGTTCTCTCTGGCAGGAGCACAGTGTCCACTCTGATGGTTTCACTTCTTAAAATTCATTCCTGGCTCCACACCAAGGTCACACTCCTTCACTTAGCACCAGGGTCAGAGTAAGGGTTCTAACCCAAGACCGTCACAGGCCCCTCTGAGGCTACAATAAAATGTTGAGCCCACACCCCCTGAAAATGCCTGTGAGGATGTGAGTACACACACATTTACATTCACATTTCAGGGTTTTTGTGGACTCCCTCCACTGGCTATAGGGTTCCATGGGTCCCATAGCGGAAATGTTTGTTCTTCCTTATCCCCAATTCACATTTCCATGTCTTCCCCTTGTGAACTGTTGGCTCCACGAGGACAGGGGCCTGGTCTGCTGTGTGCGGTGCTCTACCCCCAGCACCTAGAATGGCACCTGGCACTTAAGAGGCACTCAGTAAGCACCTGTGGGATGAAGTGTAAAGCCAGCTGCTTTCACAGCTCTGTGCCTTCACACCTGCTGTTCCTTGTGGGAATGACGGATCCCTGTCTTCATTTCTAATGCACTCACCCGCCCCAACTCAGCTCAAGTTCCACCTCCTCCTGGAAGCATCTGATCTCCCAGGCTGAGTCTGGGGCCCTTCCCGTGTACTTCCCATAAACACTATTGTATTGACGCTCTCACAGAGATCTAGAATCATCGATTGAATTGGCTCTCCCCCTTCCCTGTGGGATCTGAAGCTCCTGGGGGCAGGAGCCAGGTGATGTGTGCACCTGCTGCTTTCACAGGACCTGGCATGTAACCAGCACGTGGACGTGGTAAACACTGAATAACTAGGAGAGGTGAGTGAGAAATGAAGCTGAAAAGTATGCTGGGGTCCATTTGGCTTGACCTATGTGAGGCCAAGGACTTACAGTGTTGTGAGACAGGATAGAAACTCCTGGGCTTCTTTTGGTTTTGTTTGTTTCCAAGAAGGGGATGACTATGGTAGGTTGTGTTTGGTGGGTGGAGGGTATATTGGAAGGGAAAGCAACCTTAAAGCAGTTGGGAGATGGCTGTGATAGTTCGGAGAGCTAAGACACACCTCTGTATCCGAGTCAATAGACTGTATCAACCCCTCCCCCCAAAGCAATCTCTCCCAGCCTCTGTTCCCCTGATCTACCCAGTTCAAGCAGAACAGCACCGTCATACTGGATCTCCCCTGAGGTCTGTGCTGGAGTCAGTTTCACAGCTGAGTGGACAGGAGTACCAGCTCAGGAGTCACCCAGGCCAGGTGCCCATCCTGGCGCTGCAGCTGACTAGCCGTATGACTTACCCCAGGCATTTACACACCTGAGCCTTGCTCTTCTAGCCAATCAAGTGCTGGCAATAATGGTATCCTGCTCGCTGTGTTAGAAATTATTTATTCAGGGGTCTCCCTGGTGGCCTAAGGAGCTATCCTTGTGATGGCTGAGGCAGCCTGAGTTCAATCCCCAGCCAGGGAGCTGACCCACATGGCACAGCAGACCTCTCCTGTTTGGCCCACTGCTCCCCTTAACAGTGCCTTTCTGCAACCTGCCTGTTCTGCTCCCCACTCTGTCTCCGGTGACTCCTTTCACCCCCTACTCCTCTGACCTTCACCCCACCTTTTCTATACAAAAATAAAATCTTAAAAAAATATTTATTTAGCCTCACAGTAGTTATTATAAGTCTTTACATGAGGTATGTAAGTAAAATGGGACAGCCATTTTGGAAAACAGTTTGGCAGTTCCTTAACCCAGTAATTCCATTCCTAGGTATATACTAAGTGAGTTGAGAACATACATTGACACCAAAACTTGGGCACAAATGTTCACAGCAGCACAATCACAATAGCCAAAGAATGCAAACAACCCACTAGTCCACAATGGATAGACAAAAGGTATAGTATTATTTGGCTACAAAAAGGAATGAGATCGAAAAAAATTAAAAGGAATGAAGTACTGAAACACAAGTAACATGGAAGAACTTGAAAACATGCTAAGTGCAAGGAAATATGCCAGTGGCCACAGACCGTGTGATTATTCTTACACGAAATGCCCAGAAGAGGCAGGTCTGCCGAGACATTGGTAGATTAGTGGTTGCCAGGAACTGGGGGAGGGAAAAGTGGGAAGGGATTGCTAAGGAGAACAGGGTTTCTTCTGGGGCAATAAAAACATACAATTACGTTGTGATCGTTGCACAATTTGGTAAATATTCTCGGGCCCACTGAATTATACACTTTATTCTTACTTATTTATTTATGCATGCACACAAGAACTGGGGTACAGGCCAGCGGTTCAGAGGGTGAGAGGATTCACCAGAGACAGAGCGTGGAGCAAAACAGGCAGATCCACTGAAATACACTGCTGAGGGGAGCAGCGGGTGAGCCAGGAGAGGTCTGCTGCGCCATGTGGGTAGCTCCCTGGCCGGGGATGGAACACGTGCTGCAGTGGCTGCGGATAGCTTCCTAGTGCTGAGACTTAACCCCTTGCACCACCAGGGAGGCCCTGAATTATACACTTTAAAAGAGTGAATTTTATGATGTGTGAATGATTTCTCAATTTTTAAAAGCTACTTTGCATGTGTCAGGCACCAGGGAGTTGATAATGAATAAGACACGGCTTGTAGTCACCAAGAACACCGAGTCCAGTGGGAGAGAGGCACTGATGAATCAAATCATCACATATATCGAGTGTAATTGTGCCTAATGGCGGCTCCACAGTGGAGAGAGATGTGTGCTTGAGAACCCACAACTGGGGAGAGCTCTGATCCAGACAGGTCAGGGAAGAGCTCTTCCAGGTGCTCCTGGTGCTGATATCTGAAGACTTCTGTGGCCCAACGAGCATCTGTCAACCTCCGGGAAGATGACGCGGCACATGCAGATGCCCTGCACCAGCAGGACGCCAGAGACCACCAGGGAGCCCGAGCAGGGCTGCAGTGGATGAAGCACACTGAGTTCGGAAGCTGGAGGAAGGTGGCAGCTGGAAAGGCCAACCGTACTGACCTTCGAAGCCAAGTAGAAGTGCTCGGTGATAACTGGCAACAACCCCCTCCTCCCTAGCGGCTCCTCCCCCACTGCTGCCTGTGGCAGTGACGTACCACCCGCCACCAAGTGCTGAAGCCACAGAACCGGAGTTAGCCCAGGCTTTGCTCCTTCCCTCGCCTTCACGTGCACCTCTAGTGAGCCTGTGGTGCCTCCTTTGAAGACCTCCCATCTCCATCCAGCTCTCCTGGCCGCTACCCAGATCAGCATTGGTCTGCCCACCCAGCCTCCCACAACCCTGTCAACCAGCCCTTCCCCACCAGCCAATGGAAATGTTCCACTGGAAACACAGCTCCCATCAGGCTGCTCCCCTCAAAAGCTTCCGGTGACCCTTGGGAACATGTACAAACTCCCAACAAATGCCCCCAAGTCCATGTGGAACCCCAGCCTCCGTTCTGGCCTCTCCTCTCTATGCCTTTGCCATAGAGAGCTGTTAATACCTCATGTTCTACCACCTCAAGTTCCTCTTGGCTCTGGAACATTCAAACTTTTGCTTAACCATCATGTCCCAAGGGAAGGCTCCTGGCCCAGCTCCAGTAACAAATCCCTTTGCTCTATAACATCCAACTCTCCCTCTGATGAAACACCATCCCAATACCCTTTGATGTGTCTTCCATTTCTCCTATATCCCCCACCAGCCCCCAGACTTGCTCACTAGAGCAGGGACCTAGCTAATTCACTCACAACACTGTCTGTAACTCTTTGCATACAGCACGCCAATAAATACTGAATGAAATAGGAAATTTCTGACACATCATTAGGGAGCACCCTCCCCCCACGCTCGAGAGTTGAAAGCAGCTCTAGTGTCTGCGTAAATTGGAATCTGGCTTTGCCCCTTGTTCGTTGTGTGACCTTCAGCAAGTTACCAACCTTTCTGAGCCTCGGCTTGTCTAACCCCAGAGTTGTAAGGGTTAATGAGAACAACACAGCTATCAGCACACTGCAGCAACTGGCTTCCTGGCATGGCTCCCTTGTTCTAGCATCTACCATCATCCACCTGGCTGGTGGCTAGAGGGAGCCTCTAAAAGGCGCATCTGTCATTTTCCCTGCCGGGGTTTACATCCTACAGCAGTTTGCTGACACCCTTATAGGACAAAATCCAAACTTTCCCACAGCTCATCAGGCTCCTGGGAAGCGTCAGCAGCCCAGCCTCCCCTCATCTCTCACCTCCACCTCCCTTCACACTCCAGGCACTCCAGGCACGCGAAGCTACTCCTCCAACGTGCCACATTTTCTGCCACTTCAAAGCCCTTGCCAGGGCTCTTCTCTCCAGCTGGAACCTCTTCTCTCCGCTACCACCCTTCTAGTGTCCCAGCTCTACACTACCAGGGAAATTCTGATGCTCCTTGCAGAGCCCGAGAGCTGGTGCAATAGCCAGGCTCTCGCCACACCCCTTTTCCTAGCACGAGGCCCACACGCAACAGGCGAAGAACCCACATTTGCACACAGGCCACTGCCATTCCCACGCTGAGGTGAGCAGACAGCGCCACCTGTTGACCCAAATTGGCACTTCAGCACCTAGAAGCAGCCTGTGCTCCCAATGCAGACAGGGGCCAAGGGTTTTGAAATTTGGTTTGTTTTGGGAGAGTGGAAGAGGTGATGTCTTGTTGGTGTATCCTCACACCAAATTCACTATTAAAAAGAGCTAACACTGTACTTATTGTGAGAGAGCTAAGCACTCCCCTAGGTGTTTTAGATATTAATTTCCACAACCACTCAATGAGGTAGAAATACCTTCACCCTGGCGGCCTGGATTGAATGGGCACTTTTTTTTTTTTTAGGATTTATACTTTATTTATACAAGAGCTGGGGTACAGGCCAGAGGCATGGGAGGGTGAGAGGATTCATCAGAGACAGGGTGGGGAGCAGAACAGGCAGACAGACTAAAATACACTGCTGAGGGGAGCAGCGGGCGGCAGGAGAGGTCTGCCATGCCTGAATGGGCACTTTGAAACCCTAAACCCACTGCCTTTATTCTGTCTCCTTGGCTCCATGCCCAGTGACCTGGTGAAGTTAAACCCAGACAGCGCCTGTGAGGGCCACTGAGGTACTGCTCTCCTGGGCAACACTGGTGTAAACCACGGGAATGAGTGACCCACACATCTGACAGCAGCATAAATCTCCAGGACAGAACAGGCACCCTGCAGACAGGAGCAAGCTGCGGCCTCTCCTCAGTGAAGTGGCAACTGCTGCTGTCAGCCCTGGTTTCGCCACTGTGTGAATGGCCTCGCATGACCCCCCAGCGACCTTGTCCTTCAGCCTCCCTTTCCTAGCAGGACTGCTTGCCCAGATGGTGGATCAGACAGGAGTGTGTGGGCAGCGAGGCGTGCAGTCCCTAAGGCAGGGGGCCCCTAAGTGGCAGGGACTATCACTCAGCCCCCTCCCTGGATCACTCACACCACCCTCCAAGCTGGGTCCCTTCACACATCTCCGCAGTGGCATTTAGAAGCCAGAGGGTGGCTACTTCTTTCCTAAGTCCACCTACTTTTCACCCTCTCCTCTGATTCCTTCCTCTACATCACTTTTGAAAGTGCCTGCCCGCCTCCACTGACCAGGTTACTGAGACATAGAAAGCCAGTACCCACCAAGCACTTTTGAAGCCCAAGTCGTTATTCTGAAGGCTTTATATGTCCTAACTCACTGGACCCTCACAACAGCACTATGATTACCCCGATTTGACAGATGAAGCTACAACAGAGTGAAGTGACCTGTTCCAGGTCATGCCGCAAAGTGCTGACATGGGGTGTACAATACACAGTGTCAAACACTGCATTGGACCCTCTTGCTGGTAGAGGCTGGGTCTGCTGCCGCCTTCACTCCCCACGGCCAGGCATACTGCTTTGCACACAGAAGATGTCAACAAACTTATTTTTAATATATATATGTTACACACACACACATATACAGTCCCATTCCAGTGTGACCCCTTCTTCGACAGTGAGAGCTCTCTACCACATTCCAGGATCCCGGAGACTCTCCAGAGAGAGCCCAGGCTTGGCAGTTTTATAGATGACACCCAATGGGGGCATTTTTATTTGACAAGTAGGAAAGGGCAGGGTGTGCCTTTAGAGTATAGCGCCTGGGGCCTCATGCAGGTCCAGAGCTCTGCTGCACCCTTTTCATCAGCTCTTCATCCTGCATAGACAACTCAGTCAACTTTTTACCCATCCGTTCATGGATGTCCAGATACTTGGAGACACACCGATCCAAGCACACAGACTCGCCCTTGGACAGATCTGCTTCCTTGTAGTGGGGAGGCACGCACTTCCGGTGACAGGCACTGGTCATTCTGGGGGGAAGGAAGGGCAAGGGTGGGTCAGTAGCAATCTGTGGCATACCAGGAACTCTCCACCATTCCTGCCCTGCCATACTGATTTCACCCTCCAAGAGGGCAAGGCAAAAACCTCAGTCTGCACCTCTACCATCCTGGAAGCTCCTTGAGATTAGGAATCCTGTCTGAGCCCAAGTTTATAAGTAATTAACTACAGATCAATGGTTAAATGCTGGCTATGTTCCTTCCAGGCATCACGCTAAGTGCCTGACATGGATTCTGTTATGCAATTCTTGTAAAAAACTGCACGAGAGAGACAAGATCATTATCCCCATTTTACATATAAAGAAATTAAGGCACAGAGAGGCTCAAGATAGAATCAGACCCAGGCAGTCTGACTTCACAGCCTTCAATTAAAGTGTTGTAATATATGGCCTCTAAGATAAACCAACTAATCAAAAACAGCTACCAGAGAGTTTAAGTCCATAAAAGTAGTAGACATTTGTTGACTATTTGTTGGGCTTGATGCCCAAAGTCTGTCATATATTTTTACATTTAATATTTATAATGTCTCTGTGAGGTAGGCAGTGACTATCTCCATTTCACAAATGGGGAAACCACCAGTCAAGGAATCCGGGTTACACCATACTGGGGGGTGGAACCAGGATTTGTTTCCAAATTTGCTAAATGGTGATAGTCTGGAGCCATGCTGAGGTAACAATCCTGACATCATTACTGATCAGTTGTGAACCCTGAGTAAGTAATCTCAAGAAGCCTGGATTTTCCTCACATTAGAATAAGATGAGTGAAATTAACCCAGTGGGTTATCTTGAAGACTAAGAAAAGATGTCTTTAAAGTGCTCAGCAAATTCCTGAGCCAGAGTAAGAGTTTAAGAAACATTAACTACTAAGTGGGCTCTCTGCTACTGGTCAAAAAGCAAATGTTCAACTGTTTTTGGAACCTATCCAATGCCTACACTGGTGCGTCCCTTCCTGCTCTGCCCCTCCATTGCCAATTCCATCCCAATCTAAATACCCAGCTCCTTCTAGTGACTCCATACTATTTCTGCATTGCTGCCAATCACGAGGAATGCAGGTTCAAGGAGGGTAAGCACCGGCATCAGGTTCCCCTAGATTGAGAAAAGCATTTTTCAGAAATCAGTCACCTCTGCCCTAGAAAAGTGTGCCCTAGGATCATTGTCCAAGACAAAGTAGCAGAGAGTCTGCTCTTACCTGTTGTACATATCGGCCATCATCTCGACCTCCAGCTCTGCCGCCAGCTGCTGGGCCCTGAGCGGATCCATCTCAGTCCAGAACCGTGGAGAATGCCTGGTCTCCTAGTTCTGGGAGCAGACATCACCGTCAACGCCCTGCTCCCCGGTCACTTTTCCATCCCCGGGAGGAGAGGAGGCGGAGGAAACTGCGTATCAGATCAACAGCGACCGCGGACCTCAGTGAGTTTAACGACCCCATATCACAGGTGTGCCAACTGAGGCTCCCAAGGAGAACACTGCTTGCCCAAGGTCACACACAGCACCTCAATGTCAGCGCTGGAAATCGAGCCCCGGAGCCCTGACACCTAGTCCCTCGAGGTGACCCTTTCTGCAGGAAAAGATCGAGAGACCGGAACGCAAGATCCACGAAACCGTGGGCCTGAGGCCGTGGGGTCGTGGGAATTGGATCATACGCGGACCTCGAGGGCGGCCCCAGGGCTGCTCTCTGAAATAGGGGCGCCATCATTAGGGTCACCTTGAGGACAGCGCTCACTCACCACAGGCAGGGGCCGGTCACAGCGTCCCCAACTTCGGCACCTACAGGGGACTCCCCGGTGCCCAGGTAGGCGAAGGCGGAAGCACGTGGATCACTTCCGGGAGGGAAGTCCCGCCTCTTTGATCGGTGTCGCTTCCGGAATAAAGTACCAACGAGGCTGTGCTGGGAAGTCCGCTACCATAGAGAGGGAGCGGCCAGCCCCGACTGCAGCGGAGGCGCGTGCGAATGCTAGAGGGGCCGCCAAGATACCATAGAGGCGTGGGCGGGGCAGAGCGCCGGCCGCCCGGTTAGACTGCAAGTCCTGGGGGGGTTGTGTCGGGGAGGTAGGAGATCATTGGTTCTCCGGGAAAGGCCAGGGTGACCGTGCTCAGGCAATCTCGAGTTCACTCTGCAGTTCGGGCGTGGAAAAGGGAAAATACCCCCCAGATAGCACCTTCGTTCTGTGCTGCACGTTAAGGTCACCTGGGAAGCTTTTAAAAATCCCCATGTCCAGGCCTCACCTCATACCAATTACAGTCGAATCTCTGGGAGTAGGACCCAGGCATCGGTGAACTTTTAAATTTCCCAGGGGACCTCTGCGTGCAGCTAAGTTGGAGTGATGAGAAAACTCATTATTGAGCAAACGAATATGATAAAGATTCCAGTAGAACTTCCAGCCCAGATGCAATGAACATTACAATGCAGGGATAATGGACAAGTTTGCTTACTGACAGCTCCTTCTCTTTCAAGATTCATAGCCAGGGCCTCAGCACTCTTATCTACAAGGTTGGGCAGCCTACCCAGCTGGTCTCTCTATCCAAGGCCATCCCCGAATGCCTGCGTCTTTCCCACTTTGCCTTGCCCTCCTTGTCTGGGGACTTTACTACAAGTGGTTGTGCCTGCTGAAAAACGATGTAACAGATATGGACATAGTTGTGTATAAAAGGAACCCTTGGTCTTTAAATGAGTGCTAGGACCTTAAGGGCTACCCAGGTCTGGGACCTCATGCATGAGTAATCAAGCTTCTCCTGACCTCACCATTCCTGAAGTGCCGCTTGTTCTTCCTCTGCCTGGGTAAAAGGCTAGAATTTATTTCTACAACAGGGGAGTCAGTCAGTGCTCAAGGCACTTTGTGTGTCACAGCTGCATGTGGGTCATTGTGCTTTCTCTGGGGTTGCAAAGTCACGCAAGCAAGCTGAGACTTGTAGCCAATATATTTTATTGAACTTCTGTTAGATGCCCTGAGCCATGAAGAAAAGACAACTGCCTCTGGAACTTAGGCGTTTGGGTGAGAGTATTTATGAACTTATCTTTCAATATTAAGTTGATTCTTCCATCTGCACATATAGTAGCAATAAAAACCACTTCAATCCCTAGATTCTGAAAGGGTTTCCCAGTAATTGAAATTTATAAGATGCAAATTAATTATGCAAAAGTACACGGCCCACTGTAGAAAGTGGGCTGGACACTTGTCTGACTGGTCACATACACTTTCCTCAGTGTCCGAGAAAGTCTGGGTTTTAAAGATTTATTTATTTATTTATACAAGCACTGGGTATAGTCAGAAGCGCAGGAGAATTCACCAGAGTCAGAGCAGAGAGCAGAACAGGCAGACTGATGAAATACACTGCTGAGGGGAGCAGCGGGCAGCAGGAGAGGTCTGTGCACCATGTGGGACTCTCACCCAGTGGCCGGGGATCAAACCGGCGCTGCAGAGGCTGCGGGCAGCTTCACAACCCAGCGCTCAACTGCTGTCACCAGGGGAGGCCCGAAAGTCTGGGTTTTAAACACTGAACCATATTACTACTCTAGGGACTCACCTTTGTCAAAATCTGCACCCTGATACTTGAAGTTTGAGGTTAGACATTTATACAGTAAAGTGCATATAGTACAAGAATCTTAAGCTTAATTTTCAAATATAAATTTATTTTTATAACCACTCCTCAGGTCAACCTACAAAATATTTCCAGCACCCTAAAAAGTTACTTCATTTTGTGCTTCCCCTGTGGTGCAGCAGGTTGAGCACAGCGCTGTGAAGCTCTCGGCAGCCTCTGCAGCGTGGGTTCAATCCCGGCCAGCCGGCGAGAATCCCACATGGCGCAGCAGACCTCTACTGTCTCGACCAGTGCTCCCCTCAGCAGTGTTTTTAGTCAATCTGCCAGTTCTGCTCCCTGCTCTGCCTCTGGTGAATCCTCTTACCCTCCCGCGCCTCTGGCCTGTACTCCGGTTCTTGTATAAAAATAAATAAATCTTTAAAAAAATTAAGTTACTTCATTTTCCTTTCCACTGAACACCCCCTCTCCTGCAGTGACTCACTATACTGACTTCTATCATCATCAATTATTTTGCCTATTCTTGAACTTCATCTTAGTGGAATATTATTATTTTTTTTAATTTTTATATTCCCTATACAATTGCAGCCCCCTGATTTTGACCCCAAACCCTCCTTTCCCTGCCCTCCCCCAAAATGTGTCTCTGGTTCATAGTTGTTTGCTGGGAATATTATTATTTTCTATTGTGTGCCTGACTTCCTTAGCTCAGTGTAGTCTCTGTAAGATCTTATCCATATTTTATGCATATCTGTTATTCATTCTTTTTTTATTGCTGTCCAGAATTTGATTGTTACGAATAAGTCAGAACTCATTGTTGTTCTTCAACAGGAACATTTTCCTGTTGATGGTCTTTGGGTTTGTTTCCAGTTTGGGGCCATTATGATTAATGCTGCTATGAATATTATTGTACATATGTTTTAGTGCACATAGGTTGCCCTGATTTCTGCTCTTGAAAATATAACCAAGATAGGACCTCCCTGGTGGGGCAAGGGGTTAAGACGCAAACTAGAAAGCTATCCACAGCCACTGCAGCACTGAGTTCGATCCCTGGCCAGGGAGATACCCACATGGCACAGCAGACCTCTCCTGACTCGCCCGCCGCTCCCCTCAGCATTGTATTTCAGTTGTTCTGCCTGTTCTGCTCCCCACTCTGTCTCTGGTGCATCCTCTCACCCCTCACATGCCTCTGGCCTGTACCCTGGTTCTTGTATACATAAATAAATAAATCTTTAAAAAAATAAAATATAACCGAGATATTATGGAATATTAAGAAATTACATGGGGAAAGGAGATGAGTTCCCACAATAGGAATCTCCTTCCTACATGAAATTTTTATTTGCTGTTATGAAAGATTACATACTGTATTATTCCACTTAAAACAGTCTCAAAACAACAAAATTATAGATATAAAAGAGATTAATGGTTGCCCACTATTAGAGTGAGTGGGGGGAGGGAGGGAGGTGTGCTAATAAAGGGGATATCTTTGTGGTGATGGAATCCTGATTTTTCTGTATCCTGATTGTGTTGGTGGTTACACAAATCTATATGGTTAAGTGTTTTTTAGAACTATACACAGACACTGTAGTAATGTCAATTTCAAAGCTTTGCTATTGCATGTAACTGCATAAAATTTAACCATTAGTGGAAATGAGATGAAGGACATGAAGCCCTCTCTGTATTATTTATGCAATTTCCTGTAAGCCTATAATTATGTCAAAATGAAAATGTTTTTAAAAATCATTACCAGGTATAAAAATAAAATCTATTTTAAAAAAAAAAATCATTACCAGGGCCTCCCTGGTGGCACAGGGGTTAACAGCTCAGTGCTATCAAGTTATCACCAGCCACTGGGGCATGAGTTTGATTGCCAGCCAGGGAGCTGACCCACATGGCACAGCAGACCTCTCCTGTCTCCCCTGATGCTCCCCTCAGCAGTGTATCTCAGTAGATCCGACTGCCCTGCTCCCCGCTCTGTCTCTGGTGAATCCTCTCAACCCCACATCTCTGGCCCACATCCCAGTTCTTGTATGCAAAAATAAATAAAAATAAATCATTAAAAAATCATTACCAATAAGAAAAACAAAATAGGTAATAGAGTTGACATGGAATATACTCAGTAAAAGAAATCATAGTTCTTACTATTTATATTTTTAGAATTTTCTTAGGCCAGATTAAGAACATGGGCAGTAGTGAGCACAGTATATTAAACATACATATACCCATCACCAGGAGTTAATGATTATTCACAGCCATATTTTCTTCACCTGGTTTTATCTCTAACAGATTAAAGTCTTTCCCAGAAAGACTTCATACCCTCAGAATTATAATAATTTCATGTCATCTAATGCACATATTCCATTTCCCCCAATTTCTCAAAAAATGTCTTGTCATGGCAAGAACAATTTATGTGAGCTCTATCGTCTTAACGAATGTTCAAGTGAACAATACAGTATTGTTAATTATCTGCACATGGCCTACAGCAGATCGCCAGAACTTATTTATCTTACATAACTGTAACTTAATACCCCATGAATAGCAACTCCCTATTGCCTCTCCCCTCAGTGCCTTGAAAATTATTGCTGCTGATGTTATCTGCCAGGAGACTGTGTCTTTTCCTTCCTGTATTTATACAGTTGGGGTTTGGGGACCTACAAGAAGGGATCTCTAATAGTCTCTGTTAAGTTTCTTCTTAGAAGACAGTTTATATAGCCCCAGCCTTCAGGATCTCTTTGGAATCTAGTTACATCATCCCAAACTGCTAACCTTCGGCAGCACCATGCTGAAGCTCCTGGCCCTGTGCTACCTTCCAAGCCTCCAGCCTGCAGAGGGGAGCTGAGTGTCCATTACTCACCATGGATCATCATCGTCCTCTTGTATGGGACCTCAGCCCAGAGAAGGGCCCGCAGGCCCATCACCCAGGAGTCTTGAGCCCTCGTGAGAGGCACAGAGAAAACAAAGAAAGACAGCCCAGGTGGGCTCCAGAGATGAGCAGGAGGTGAGACAAGAACAGAATGGCTCGAGTCTTTCTAGTAGCTGAAAGTTGGCACCGTCTTAATCAGTGTTTCACTTTTACTACCCTTCACTTCTCCCCTCCCCTCCACCGCTGACTCGCTGATCCAACCTCTCTCTCCCTCCCCACCCCCAGCCTGAGCGAGGGTCACGGCTTTAGTCAGTCTCCTAAGTGGTTTCCAACTTGGGTTCATGCTCCCCCCTGAGTTTGTTCTGAAAACAGCAGCCAGAACCATCTTGTCAGAAACTAAAGTTAGATCGTGTCATTTAACCTAAAACCCTCCATGGCTTCCATTCACGCAGCA